TATATAAAAAGTAAATTATTACAGTGTCTTTGATCAGCACTCAACAAAGTCTGCTTAAAAACAAGCAAACTTCCAGCTTATTTGGCAGTAGCAACAAATCTGGACACAATGAGAAGAGAACCGGTAGCGATACGAAAATGTTGGAACAAACGATGAAGTATCAGAAAGAACGTATGAGGATTGAACAACATTCAACACGGCCTGCTAAAAACGCAAGCTTTCTAATTTGGTGTTAGAACACATTCATCGACGTTTGTAAGAAATCTTCACATCAATGCATCACGAATGTACATTAATTGCTTCTGGTAGAACTTGGAAAATTCTATTTAAAATTTAAAAATCAGATCAACTCAGAGATTCTTGCCTCACAGAAAACTCAACGAGATTGGTACATAGTACCGAAATACAACTGTATTTGACCCAGACGCAAAAAACAGTACTGGACAGAATGTTGGTCATATCAGCAAGAGCATCATAAAAATGTAGAAACGTACTGGAAACGTACTGGTATTGGCAACAGTAAAACTCACCTTGCCCGATACATGTCCACACTAATAAACAAACACACACTCACACACACACACACACAGAGAAAACACTGCAATCTTTCCCCCATCCTTGGTCATCGATTTTCAAAAAACTAAATGAAAAACCTTCAAGGAAAGACTGGGAGGCCAATACCGGGATGTCAAGCTTTGATGGGGAAGTCGATCAAAAGACTGGGAGGCCAATACCGGGATGTCAAGCTTTGATGGGGAAGTCGATCAAAAGACTGGGGTATACCTGGACAGTCTTAGTACTCTCACACAGATAGATTTACACACACAAACAAACACTGGCAAACACACACACACACACACACACACACATACACACACACACATACACGCACACACACACACACACACATACACGCACACACACACACATTCACGCACACACACACACGCACGCACACATGCACGCACGCACACACACATACAGAAAACAGCTGGGTGCGGTCACACAGCTAACTTAGACTGACGTCTGCTTCAGCAACACAGGCTTCTGCCGCGAGCTTCTCCTCAGAATGCCCTCCATGACGAGGTAGCCAACCACCGACAGCAAACAGATGCAGCCTATGATGTAGATCTTGTGCTGCATGCACAGAGTGTTGGAGTAGCCGAAGCTGAAAGCTAGCCCGAGTCCTTGAGCGACTCGAAGACCAGCGAAAGCCTCTTCGTATTTGTCCGGGAACACAACGCCCATCAGACCTGGAAAGACAAAGAAATGGGAAAAAAAATTAATTTCTTAAAAAAAAAAAAATCAGACATAATTAGGGCTGTCTTTACAAAAACAAAATAGAAGAAAAAAGGCAAAGTATCCATTTTTTCCATTAGGTGTGAAGTTTTGCAGCCAGGTGTAGAGAGCCAAAGGAGGGCCTACCTTCTTTCCTTTCCCGAGGCTAGTTTTACCTGGGCTGCTTTTCTAGGCACTCCATTGTCCCGCTGATCTTTTTCTTTCTATTGTCCCGCTGATCTGTTTCTTTCTATTGTCCCGCTGATCTGTTTAATCTATTGTACCGCTGATCTGTTTAATCTATTGTCCCGCTGATCTGCTCCTTTCACTTTCTATAAAAACTAAAACAGAGAACTTTTCTCTGACAATAAACACATTTTTCAAACTGCATCCAGTGGTGGCGAACAGACCGATATGTTTGGGAAGATTTCTGCTGAGAGAGAAGTGAAGAGTCATGTGGAGTCTACAGGCAGAAAGTTGAAAGACATCGCTGGTACAACCTGTTTCCACACCCTCCACATATTCTCTTCACGGTGGGGTTGGGGGGGGGGGGGCTGGGCAGTACTAACTGCTATTCAGCCTATACTTAGAACAATTGTGAGGCATCATGGGTGAAATCAAGCGCTCGTCAAAAAATCAAATCGAAGAAACAGGCATTTTTTTGCCAGTTTGGCAATTTTTACCTAATTTAGTTTTTTTTAGCTGGACACCTTTTATGTCTTTTTTAAAACACATTTCTACGTGAACTTAACGGGAAAACTTTGATCAAAGGCACACAATATTATGTCATTTTTCAGTTTTCAAGCACTCTCAAGATATTGAAGTTACCAAACTTTGGCGGCCATTTTCTCGCAAGTTTTACCAATGAAACCGAGCAACCCCACCTCCTTCAATCGCAAATATTTCAACTTCTCTTGTCAGGCAAGGATTTGGAGGATCCTGCTTCATAAAATATAAGCTGCATACAAAATGGAAAAAAAATAATTTCCTGTAAATTTAACGCCTTGATCAACACAGTTCAGATATTGGAGGCCCATAGAAGCCATGAGACAGACAGACATGAGACAGACATGAGACAGACAGACAGACATGAGACAGACATGAGACAGACAGAAGACATGAGACAGACATGAGACAGACAGACATGCGACAGACAGAAGACATGAGACTGACATGAGACAGACATGAGACAGACAGAAACCAGGAGACAGACATGAGACAGGCAGACATGAGACAGACATGAGACAGGCAGACATGAGACAGACATGAGACAGACATGAGACAGACAGACATGAGACAGACAGAAGCCTTGAGACAGACATGAGACAGGCATGAGACAGACATGAGACAGGCAAACATAAGACAGACATGAGACAGACAGAAGCCTTGAGACAGACATGAGACAGACAGAAGCCATGAGACAGACATGAGACAGACAGAAGCCATGAGACAGACATGAGACAGACAGAAGCCATGAGACAGACATGAGACAGACAGACATGAGACAGACAGACATGAGACAGACAGACATGAGACAGACAGACATGAGACAGACAGAAGCCTTGAGACAGACATGAGACAGGCATGAGACAGACATGAGACAGGCAAACATAAGACAGACATGAGACAGACAGAAGCCTTGAGACAGACATGAGACAGACAGAAGCCATGAGACAGACATGAGACAGACAGAAGCCATGAGACAGACATGAGACAGACATGAGACAGACAGAAGCCATGAGACAGACATGAGACAGACAGAAGCCATGAGACAGACATGAGACAGACATGAGACAGACAGAAGCCATGAGACAGACAGAGACAAGAAAACACCCCCACCAATAATTAACCTCATTTCTCTCACATTTAAGATTGGCAGGCTATCCACTGTACCCCATTATTGCCTCCTCTTCTTCTTCTTCTTCTTCTTCTTCTTCTTCTTCTTCTTCTTCTTCTTCTTCTTCTTCTTCTTCTTCACGAAACAGTATTAGCAAACGAAGAGGACAAAAAATGATGAGGCTAAAACTAAATAAAACTTACTGTTCACTAAAGTACAACCTACTGTTCACTAAAGTAAAGTACAACTCACTGTTCACTAAACTAAAGTACAAGTTACTGTTCACTAAAGCACAAGTTACTGTTCACTAAAGCACAACCTACTGTTTATTAAAATACAAGTTACTGTTCACTAAAGTAAAGCCTACTGTTCACTAAACTAAAGTACAACTTACTGTTCACTAAGCCAAAGCACAACTTACTGTTCACTAAAGCACAACCTACTGTTCATTAAAATACAAGTTACTGTTCACTAAAGTAAAGCACAACTTACTGTTCACTAAAGCACAACTTACTGTTCACTAAAGCACAACTTACTGTTCACTAAAGCACAACTTATTGTTCACTAAACTAAAGTACAACTCACTGTTCACTAAAGAACAACTTACTGTTCACTAAAGCACAACTTACTGTTCACTAAAGCATAACTTACTGTTCACTAAAGCACAACTTACTGTTCATTAAAGCACCACTTACTGTTCACTAAAGCACAACTTACTGTTCACTAAAGCACAACTTACTGTTCACTAAAGTACAACCTACTGTTCACTAAACTAAAGTACAACTCACTGTTCACTAAAGCACAACTTACTGTTCACTTGGCTGATCCAGATTCCGTCACTGACCCCCCAGACCCCCATGAGAGCAAAGTACGGTGCCAGGGAGTCTAGAGTGGGGTGCCACACCGACATAAAGGTCAAGGCCCCAAAGTTCAACGTTGCAGCTGTTAGAAGGAAAAAAACACAAAGAAAACATTTCAGACTCAAGAACACAAAAATGTTGCTCAGTTTTCCCCATTAGCTATGGCAAGAATATTGTTGCAACAACAACTGAAGATTGAGCATTGATCGTGTTTGGCATTTTCCAAGGACAATGGCAGTCCTGACTATCTGTTAACGTTTTTTCCTCCTCCAGGTGGAAATGAACAAATGTCTTGTGAATGCAGGTACCATTACTTACTCCTCATGGGGATTTCGCAGGAGAGACACTACTCTGATCACAAATTCAAATGTGAATAAAGTTTTTCAGAATTTCCTTTCATTTGTACCTTTTCTTCAGAGACTATAACTTATACTATAAACAAATCCGAGTTATGATAACTGGATTGGAGTCAGCAAGAGTTGGTCAACTGCTGCTGACTATAAACAATAAAAGTCACCTTTGAGTTGTACCTACATGATACAAGACCTCTTCTACAACTATAGGAACTGAATTTCCAATTCTGAAACCGAGGGTTTTTTTACTCTTCCATGATGTTGGGGCAAAAACAGCCCTCATTTACAGTACTCAGTCTGAAGACATGTTCTTGTCTTTTATTTTTCTCATTTTGTATAAAATGTGGATTAAGGAACAGGGAGCGACTGTTTTTTAATACGGAAACAGTTCTGGTTGCTCTTTTTAAAAGTGTTGTGCATTATCAAAAAATTTTACAGAAAAAAAAAATGAAAATGACAACAGTAACAATGTAATATTGTTTTTCTTTATCAGGATTTAACAGCCAGTGAAATATCTGTGGACACACTGGATGCAGATGTCGGAAAGATGGTTCTCTTTATCAAGTCCTGTCTGCTGCTGTCCTACAAGGGGGCCCTAGCCAAAGTTCTTGTCTTTTTCTCATCAAAGCATCATTAGCTCCAAAAAGATGTGTGGATTTACCCAAAAACAAATGTAAAACACATCCCAAAAATGTGGTCAGAGTTTGGACTCTGTTGTGCTGGCAATGTCAAAGTGAGTGGAAAGAACGCTTCATCAAATCCTCTCATGTTGTTACACCATTTTCATTTTCTTACTCTTCTCTCTATCTGCCTGTTCAACCCTTCTTTCAAGCAAAGTTATACTTGTTCATCCTCGAAAGCTGCGATACCTCCAAAAACATGACCAGCTCTACATGGTACTCAACACAGATTTAAACATTTAAAAAAAACAACAGATAAAAAGAATTGGATTAAGATATCACCTACAGTCTCTCATACCACAGTCTACAATTGGGAAGGGAAAAAAAAAGCCTAAATGAGTCCCCATCCCCTCCATAAAACATTTACTACCATGAGACATACATGATATTCATTGATATTGTGGTCAACACATAAAAGTTCATTGGTTCAACACGTGCGAACAGTCTCTATTCGAATACATTCTCTACAGAGAAAAAAAAGAACAGTGGGCATAAAAAGATGACTTCTTGAAGAGTTCTACAATTTGTCTGTCACTAGAACTATAATAGCATTTATGTTCGATCCAAACATGAAACCATTCATGGGATTTGGGGGAGGGGGTTCTGCTGAACGTCAATTTGAACGACCAGCTTGACATTTCTCATTTCTGTAGCCAACATATTCATCTCTTGTTTTTTTTTCTCAATCTTTAATATTTTTTAACCTCTTCCAGAGAAAGAAAGAAAATAGATTGTACTCATCAGCTGGAAAACAAAGTGTATGCATTTGAAACAATCAGCAAGAATGAATGCTCACATTTTCCGACTGCTAAAAAGCACTTAAAGCTTTTTTTTTCTCCACAAATTTCGATACACCATCCACACTAGTACCCTGTGTGTCAGCAATTTCTGACCTACTTTGATCATTCTGCTATTGACCTCTGAGATCCAGACATTTGAACCAAAGTTTTCAGTTTCTCCCAAACACAAGGAGAAAAATTCAAAGAAAGCTGAGTAGGCATTCATTCACACCGACTGGGTTATTAAATGACAAGGATGAAAATACAGAAATTACGAGACTGTCATCTTCGATGGGAAATTAATTTTACGAAATATTTAAAAATTAGATTGTCCTAGAAATCTTCATTGCCTTAATTTCTGTATTTTCATCTCAGAATGGATTTTGCAACACACAATGGTTGTTGATTTTTCTTTTATTTTCATTTCCCACAGTCACAACTTCTAAAAAAAGGCATTTTTTTCTCCATAAAGTAATGCTCATTTAGTAGCAGGTAATTAAATACACTCTGAAAACAAATGATGGAAACGGCTCAGAGACTGAAGTTACAGAAACGCATCAGACAAACACGTTATGGACATGCTTCACTACCCTGGACTTCTCATGGTGGGTTTTCTTTTTTAAATAAATCTGACTGCAGCATGAGAAATGTGACATTATCAACATGAAGAATCTCCCGTCAGTAGAAACTATTCACTCTCAATGATAGACGTTACAAATGCTCTTTCCAATTTCCCTAATAAACTAATGCTGTCTGATGCTGGATTTTGTAACCTCCGTAGAATTCTGAGTGGAATCATCTTTACCACTTGTACGTCCTGAAAAATTCCTGCCAATACAGACTAACCAAGTCCTCGACATTGCATCAGCTCTACTAGTATCTTCATTCTCTTGACCATGTATAACGGGACTGTCGTCCTTCCGTTGTGATTTAGACTTTTGTCCTAAGCAACTATCGGACAAGTCACTGTTCAGGTTATTACCGAGGATGTCAAATGGTATCCAGAGCGGGTCAAGAAGAACTGTCAGGATTTCCAGACTTTCAAACCCCACTAGGAATCAGATCTGGAATTTACACGTTGCTCACGCCCACATCCAAAGGCTCCATGACAGACAACTGTCGTGGTTACTCACAGTGACTACAACAATTGCCATGGCAAGTATTCAGTCAGCTTTCTGATCACATAGAAAAACAAATCAACATTCCACAAAAATAGTTTTTTCTGACTGTAAATGTCAATAACTTCTACCAACGCATCAGAAACTAATGTTCCTCAAAACTGGAACGTAATTTGGTCCATTTGTCACATTCCAGATTCTCCGTCCACACCACTGGATTCTTCAAGAAGCGCCAGCGGACATAACAGCTTCCCTAATCTGATACAATGTCATGTGACCAGACATAACTGTTTCCATAAAAATAAACTGACACAATGTCATGTGACCAGACATAACTGTTTCCATAAATAAACTGACACAATGTCATGTGACCAGACATAACTGTTTCCTTAAATAAACTGACACAATGTCATGTTTTCCATAAAGTGACACAATGTCATGTGACCAGACATAACAGTTTCCATAAATAAACTGACACAATGTCATGTTTTCCATAAACTGACACAATGTCATGTTTTCCATAAACTGACACAATGTCATGTTTTCCATAAACTGATACAATGTCTTGGTTCTTTCACCCTGTGTTAGGCAGGACTCAGGCCATGGCGACCATTAACTCTCATCAACCACCACAATCTTCTCTGCTCCAACAAGAGACAACAGTCACTGTACGCTACATAAAGCATCTCTAAGCTCTTTGCGTCTTCATTTTTTAACTAAAACTTAAGGCTTTGGTTAAAGGAAAAAGAGCAAATGATTTTAAAACAAAACAACTATTTTTCCTGTCAATTCACTCCGTGGTATTGACGAGTTTGGTTATAAGACAATTTAGGTCAACAAAAGGGGGCCTGTGCGGCAGCTGTATACATCTACTGTTCCGACGAAACACGAGCAGAGAACAAAGTTGTAGTTGATACGAATTAATAACCTGAAAAAGAAGATGCCAAAATGCAAAAGGAAAAAAAAAAGAATAGTTTATAGCACAAATGTTCTTACAGGACACATCTTCCCTTCAGTGACAAAGAATCTGTCAAACTGACGCAATCTGTCTCAGGGATCTAGAACTTTTTCTTCAAGTTCTTCAAGAGAGCTTCAGCTGTCGATTTGTCACATAAAACTTTGCTGAGTTGGCAACAACAACAAAATGTTCAAGAACACTAAAGAAACAAAAGAAGGTGTGAAGTGCACTCATGGTATGAATGACTGCGCATGATGTGTGCCGGCTACAGTTCACTGGCTGTTACCACTATTTTCTGGACACCTCAGTTTTCAATCCTTACCATAAGTGGAAAAGTAAAGATGTATTCCCCTCTTTTAGTATTGTACTGAAAGATGTAAGTATGTCGTTTAATTTCAATCAAGGACATGTACTATTTGGTACACAACCAATTGAAATAAGGTCAACTAACACTAATGCCAAACCAAAATCTTTGCGTTGCTCTTCCGTTGTTTGTCTAGAATCTGATTGCTGAGGACGGCAAAATGGCCGACGGTTGAACCCAGCCAGTATAGCGTTATTGCTCACAATCAGATTCTAGACAGCAAAGCAGCATACTCCATTGGCCATAAGGGAAAATCTTTTTCTTTCTATTATCCCAATACTTTTTATTGCATAAGAAAAGCTTGTGACTGTTTCAATGAGATAATCCCCCATGTGAAGTATGCATGCTCCTCGGAAAGGTGGGAAAACTGACCAACAGTTGGGCCCCGTGAGGCTTGTGTTAAGTTCACACCAATACGGTAAAGCTCTGGGCATTCTCTGCTTGACAAGTTCTTACCTGTGCACCCCGTCCAACAGAGCAGGGGCCGCAGAGAACCCCCGTATACTCACCAACGCCACAAATTGCTCTTTACAAAACTTTGGAAATCATCTAAGCGTCTTAGTGCCTCTAGAGTGTCCAGTAACACCCTGGGACCTCTGGGAAGACCTCAACGGTTCGGTTCATCTGCCCTTCAAAGGCCTGGTTCATCTGCCCTGAAAAGCGAGGTCATCTGCCCTTCAAAGGCCTGGTTCATCTGCATCCAAAGTGGTCCACAGACTCTCTCCATCTTCCCATCTCAGCTTTCAGGTTGAAGCTTTTGGTTAACAGGATGAGCTTAAGGAAGTCTTCAAAACAAACCTAGTCAGCAGAGGCACACAATCTACCCCTGAAAATGATCGACGTTGTTGATGGGTCTGGCCTCCAGGTCAAATTCTCCTCTTTAAATCTTTTCATCTCCGCTGAAATTAGAATGAAGGTGAGACGTACTTCAGATAGGGATCTTAGAGTGCAACTAGGCGAGAGTAAGGGTGATGATTTTGGAGCGCAGGTTATAGCAATGGCAAAGAAAAGGTCAAAGCAGGGTCATAGAGGCCAGCCTTAGCTCTGCTTCGGGGAAAGCGTTGGGACAGATCTGAGAAAAGCGTTGATTACGTCAAAAAAAAGTTAACATCCACCAAATTCATCATCAATAAATAATCTCAGCTACCACCCCTCCTTTTCATAAATAAGACCTAGCCCAAAATTATTCTTATTGCCAGAAAGGAAATCAAATTTTACCAACTTTATGAAAAAGTCTTAAAGAAAAAAAGTCTCCCTGCAAACTGAATGCATTATGCCCAGCACCAACAGCACGCCAAAAGTTTTCAAAAGGTTTCCCCTGCCCCGCTGCACCTATATATATATAATCATTCCTCACCAATAATCCGATCTGTGTACCGATACATTAGAGCATTTGTATTTTTCAAGAACCTACATCAACCCTTCACACAAGTGAATTCTATGATATTCTTTCGGAGAAAAAAACACAAAGCGTTGGTAATAGCTTACATACCCAGGTGATGCTGATGAATGAATTCTATTTCATTGTCATTATCTACTTGGTGAGGCGGCGCAAGGATTCACCAATAGAAAAGCGACCTGCGCTTGAAGGATGTATTCATTCTTCACCTTGCAACATCTCTAAATCTTTTTAGTTAAGAATGGGGAATAAAGGTTTCCAATTACCGCATGACAATATTCACAGATCTGAGTGACAAAAAATGTGAAGTTCAAAATAGTTCAATACTGCTATAATTCACAATGGCATTAATATTGAATGAGTGCATTCTAAAGTGATTGCTTTCATTATTTGTACCCATCTGGGGTACTTAAAGGGACATCTTTAAGAGGCTGTTCCTTTTCTAAGAAATAAAAACCAAAGCTTGCTTCCTGAACAAAGCATTACAGGATACTCTGCTCTTATAGAGATTATAGCCTAACTGTTTCAGTAAGTATGTAAATAGTAAGCACAAAAGCAAAAAAGTAAAAAAGTAAGTAAATAAGTAAGTCGGTAAGTTGATTCCGTATACAGAGTAAACAGAATGTTGAGTGAGCCAACGTGTTCGGAGAGAATATGACAAAATGACAAATGACAATATGATAAAATGACAATATGATAAAACAATCAGGTGTTCAAATAGCAGCATGGAAAGTAATACAAACTTTTCCTTTTGATTAATTCAGCCAATCACTGTCCTCATTACTAGAAGCAAGCCTCCTAAACATTACAGTAAGAGAAAAGAACCGAATGTATTTCAGAACATAAATGATTGGGCGACATACCAGTGAGAATAAGGGACGTGCGGCCGGTGTATTTAGTGAGGAGACCGCTGAGGTATGAGCTGACGCTCCCACACACGCCCAGGCAGATCATCGTGTAGCCCACCATGTGAATCCCAAGCGGACACGTCACGAACGCCTGACAAAAAACAGGGAAAGTATTTTCAAGTTCAATTGAGCAAACAAACATTCTCCTTCTATTTCCTACTTTCCAATAAGCCTACAAAGTGTAACAAAGTGTAACAAAGTGTAACAAAGTGTAACAAAGTCAAAGTGTAACAAAGTGTAACAAAGTGTAAGTGTAACAAAGTGTAACAAAGTGTAACAAAGTGTAAGTGTAACAAAGTGTAAGTGTAACAAAGTGTAACAAAGTGTAACAAAGTGTAAGTGTAACAAAGTGTAACAAAGTGTAAGTGTAAGTGTAACAAAGTGTAAGTGTAAGTGTAACAAAGTGTAACAAAGTGTGACAAAGTGTAACAAAGTGTAAGTGTAACAAAGTGTAACAAAGTGTAAGTGTAACAAAGTGTAACAAAGTGTAAGTGTAACAAAGTGTAAGTGTAACAAAGTGTAAGTGTAACAAAGTGTAACAAAGTGTAACAAAGTATCAAAGCCATCTTGGCATTAAAAAACACATAGAAATATATAGGCCGACCCACACATCCAAACTATTTGTTGGAATTTGAAGAAGAGGAAAAGAAAAAACTATTCTTCTTCACCACCCCCAAGAAAAAAAAAGAATTTTCCATGATTGAGACAAAGAATTATTAACAGAAGGATCTCAAGAAAAACTACAGCAAATACTTTGTTGAAATAAACACAAGAAGAAGGCAAAACTACCTCAAAAAGCTTCTCTACAAAAGAGCAATCTTCATTGTTAATATTTTGCTATGCACTGTAAAAGATTAGTCCCAATTTCTTACTTTGGTGACTTCTGCAGACACAAAGCCAAACTGCATGACCGAGTACATGGATATCGGCAAAAGGAGCAGGAACTTCCTGTTCACGCTGAACTTGACGAGGGACAGGAGCTGACTCTTTGTTTTCTGTAGTCGCGATGTGTTTGGACTGAACAGACGAACATTCAGCGGCTCCAGGATAAACATGGCAATGAGAATGGCCAGGACAATACAGCCCATGTAAATGCCAAACAGGACGTACTTTGTTTCCACGCTGACAGAGAAGGCACTTCCCTCGAGGTCAAAGTGCTGGCAGTACTCTGCACCGCACAGATGGAGGTGAGTAACGTCCTTCAAGGTCAGGTTCGACGGGAGTGGTGGAAGACGGGAGTTCACATCGGCAGAGAGAGATGTTGGCGCTTCCGCTCCATAGGACAAGTTCTGAGAGTGATTGAAAGCTTGAGCAATGACGAGAGAAGAGTTGGCAGCTGTGGCATTCTGGGCCAGGGGATCGGGCGTCTTCCCAAACATGAGCACCAGGGAGGCGATCAGATTGCCCACGATGAGGTAGCTCTGGTAGATCAGACAGAAGATACCAAAGAACCGTCCAGAGACAATCTCGAAGCTTTCATTCTTTTTTTGAGCACGTCCTCGGGCCAGGAAAGTGACATAGGTGCTCATGGCGTTCCACAAAATGGCCGTGGACCAACCCTGGATGAACGAGATGGGAGCCATGATCCACAACGTTGGGTAGATGTTGGCCGCCACATACAGTAGGTTGGGGATCAAGTTGATGATGATGGACGTTCTGGGCTGGAAGTTTTGGACAACAGAAACGCTGAACACACTCCCGATCATATAACCAGCAAACGTGACGGCCATTGATATGACTCCAACGCCCCCCTCGTGGTTGATGCTGCTCTGCAGATTGCGCACGGAGCCAATAGCGGTGAACAGCAGGGTTATCACCAGGCTCATGGCTACCAGATTTCTGGTGTGACGAGAGCTGGGAACAACGTCGAGCACTTTTCCGCCATCGATGAGGCTGACACCCTGCCCCGGGTCCTTGTCAAATCCCTTGTTAGCCATGTTGTTGAGAGAAGCTAGAGAGCCAAATGTCAAGTCATCTTTGAGATAAATCAAGGCTTTTTGGCAAGCCCTTCCCACCTTTGAGATCTCTGTTAAATCTAAGAAGCTTAACCGTTCATGGAGATTCTGCATGGTTCCTGCTCTTCGGCTGTGTTTTGGGGTCTCTGACTCCCCTAGACTTGTCTGACTCTCAAACAGGAAGGACTCGTCAACGACGGTAATATTGTTTGTGATCTTGGTGTACATTGTTGGCTCCACTTCCTCCCCCAGGAAAGATTGAAGTTCTTCGTGTTCGGTGATGGGGATCAGGGAATGTGGGACAAAGTCATCCAGGGCCGTTTTCTCTTTGTCCGTTTCTTCGCCAGCAATGTCGTCATCAGGACTGACCTCAGTTTGACTGCCGCTGCTTTCCTCTCCCTCCCCCAGGAGTGGTTGCTCCGACTTACCTCCCCCTTGTTCACCGGCACTCTCTTCATCCTCACTTTCTTTATCCGTACACAACATCTCAGAGCTGGAGTAGGAAGCGTATCCGTTATTGTAGTAGATCTCTTGCACGGCTTCAACCGGTTTCACAGCTCCGGTTTCTTCGTCCGACTCGTCCGGTCTGATGAGGAAGTCTGTGCTGTTCACGCTGGACACGGTGTCGGTGTACGCGCTGCTGAAGGTTTCCCCCGTCGACGACACCGTCTCTGTACTCTCCGAGCTATCGCGCCTCACTCTCTGAGTGCGATCGGCGTATTCCACACCGCTACACTGGCTGTCAGCACCAGGATTTGGATGAACCAATTTGTCAGCATCACCGAGACAGTACTGCTGGGCGTTGTCCAAGTTCCAGGACATATCCTTCATGAGGCAGGGGTCAGCTGGCGGGAGGTCGCAGAATCTAGTTTGAGAGTTATCAGTGATTGGCTGGAATGAGTCCGAGTAGAGTGTAGCATTAGCACCGGTCATCACATCAGGCAGGAACTGAGTGGCATCATGAGACAAGGGAGAGGAGTGAGAGTTGAGAGCATCACAGGGAGGAGGTTGTGGGAGGAATGGGTTCGTTTCCGAGACCAATGTACAGCTTGTTTGCTCTGGGCGGAGATGGGAGTGGGAAGAAAGCTGAGACATGTCGCTGTGGTCGTTGTTCAGGGTCGGGGTGGAGATAGCGGTCGCCAGGAGGAAGTCGGGTGGCATGGACACACAGGTGGACGGGAGAGGAGGGTTTACAGCGGGAGGTTCAGAGGTCACAGCAGTGGTAGGGTCAGAGGTCACAGCTGTAAAGCCGTGAGGGCCAAGCGTTCCCTCCACACCCGTGAGCTGAGGAGGCGGGTCCGGGGGATGCTGACTGACGACCATCTGGACCATTTTCTCCGCTACGATGAACCTGAACAAGAAAAATAGGGACAGTGTTCACCCCGGAATGCAGATTCCTTTCATCTGTGAGTGCCAGCTGATTGGCTTAGCTTTGACTTTTGCCCTATTTAAGACTAAATTTGAATACGAGTGAGAACGTGAAGATGTGAAATAACATTAACAATAGAGAAACAGACCAGTGCAAA